TTAATGTTTCAAGTCTAATATAAGTCTACTTTGAAACCCCACACACCTCCTGAGTTTCTCCAACACTTTCGGTTTCTACTTGTTAGTGTTCTGGGGACATGGCCTTTGGATGGCAGATGGTGAAATTTGAATTCAGTACGAAAAAACCTGAATGAAAAACCTAAACTAAAGAACTATGTAACCATTGTCGATTATTAGAAAATCTGATTCACTAATATCCTTTACGATATCTACCATTGTTATCTGGTCTGGCCTACATGTGACTCCAGATGCACAGCAATGTGGTAATGCTTAACTGCCCTCTGAACAATTAGGGATAGGCAATGGGTGCTGCCCGAGCCAGTCAAGCCCACCACCTGAGAATGAATAACAAAATACTTGTGTCTCTTCCACCATCAGGCACAATCGATGTGCTCTCTAAGCTGTGCAGTAACTCTGAAGTTCCTGAGCAGGCTGTGCGCAAGTTGCCAGGCATGTCTGGCCAAGCAAGAGGTTTTACGAAACTAAGTTAAAACAATTGACTGCATACACCAAAAAGAAATTATAGGCTGTGTTGGGTGTAATCTGGGGCCAGAGCTTGTTGAAGTGTCTGAAACGAAACTGATTCCAAAGGTTTCAGCTTGATGAGGCCACTGCCAGTCACTGAGTACAGATGCCTTTGTCATCTGGAGTTCACTCTGTGGTGTCTCTCAGCAAACATTCTGTGGCAATTTCTGCGTATCGACATTGCTTCTCTGTCTGTATGGTACATATAGCGGTGAAGCTGCAATCCGCAGAAAATAAAATAGTCTTGATTTTTTTGGCCTGGTTATTATAAAATAGATTAGAGCAAAATTGAAATACTTCATGCACACTACTCACTAGATTAGTAGGTGATACAAAGATTAATTCTGTAAACTAACGCACCTATTGTGATACTGTGCTTGGACATAGCATTGGTCATCGGGTCACGACTGCATTGTTGTAAGCATGTCACTGTCCAAGTTTGGCTGGTAATGTGGAACCATCTGAGTAATGCTATCTTTCAACTTAGCCTCTGAATAAGGGAAGTACATAACCACTGCTGAAGTGTTTGGATGCGCATCTGCTTGTTTTCCATCTGTAAAAAAAGTACAAATGATACAAGACTGACAGGGATTAAATATAATCCAGCAGATTCACTTTGAAATGACCGAAGCTGTCAATAAAGTTTCCTTTATAATATCATACCTGCAGGATACATTTTAAAATCAACACATTCTTTTTTAGTGAGCTTACTTTTATATGGGCAAACATGGCAGCCTACGTAGTAGGACATAATAATTTGATGTGTGATAGGAAACAAATGTGTTTACACTTGTATGGAATTGCTAACACTAAGACATTTATTTGAGTATATTTAAGGACTTGTTTCACATTGATACAGCATGGCCGCTAACCTAAACAGTGCATAATTTGGTGGTTTTTGTTCATCTGATCCTCAAAAGTAGTATTATATCAGTATTGATATGAAGTATCTTAACGAAGTCCATTTCAGTCAAGGAAGATCTCTGTTGGGATTAAATACTTAGAGATTAGAGTGGTTTAGCTTCATCAGACATAGACCATTTGTTAGTTGTAAATTTGTGGTAATACCAAATTTTTTAGACAATTGATCATGGGATGTGGGCATTAATGGTTAGACTAGTATTTATTGTCCATCCATGACCGCTCTAGACAAGATGGTGATGAACTGCTTTCTTGAACTGAAGATTAGGGATACCCAAAATGCAGTTAGAAAGGTAGTTCCAAGATATTGACCCAGCGACAGTAAAAGGACAGTAATACAGTTGCATGTCAAGATGATGTGTGACTTGGCGAGGAGATCGAAAGTGTTGGTGTCCCCATGTATCTGTTGCTCTTGACCTTCTAGTTCGTAGAGGTCATGAGTTTGAAAGGTGCTATTGAGGGAGCCTTACTGAGTTACTGCAGTGCAGTTCGTACGTGTTGTTGCTGCTACTTTGCATCGTTTGTGAAGGGGATGAATGTTGTAGGTGGTAGATGGCTGTAATTCAAACAGGCTAATTTGTTCTGAATGGTGTCATGTGCCTTGAGTATTGTTGGACTTACATCCATTCAGACAAGTGGTGAGTTTTCTATCACACTCCTGATTTATGCCTTGTAGATCATGAACTGGGGAAACACGAGGTGAATCACTTACCACAGAATTTGTAGCCTCTGACCCCTGCTTTTGTAGCCATAGTATTTATATGGCTAGTTCAGTTCAGATTCTGGTTAATGGTAATTCCCAGGATGTTAATAGTGGGGTTTTCAACTGTGGTGATCCTATTGAAAGCCAGTGGTTAGATTCTCTCTTGTTGGAGATGCTCCTTGCCTGGTACTTGTGTGGCTCAAATGTTACATGCCACTCACCAGCCCAAGCCTGAATGTTCCCCAGCTCTTGCTGCTTTTGAACATGGACTTTTTCTGTATCTGAAGAGTCACAAATTGTGCAGGGCACTATGCAATCATTTGTGAACATCCCCAGTTCTGATCCTATCATGGAGGGAAGGTCATTGATGAAGCAGCTGAAAATGGTTGGCCCTAGGAGACTAGCCGAAGGAACTCCTGCTGAGATTTCCTAGGATTAAAATGATTGACCTCTAACTACCATTGTCATCATCTTTCGTGCTCTATTTGATGGCAATAAAATTTTGCCTTTCGATTTCCATTGACTCCAATTTTTCTAGAGCTTCTCGATGCCATCTTCAATCGAAGGCTACCTTGATGTTAAAGGCAGCTACTCTCACCTCACCTCTGGAGCTCAGTTCTATTGTTGAAGTTTGGATCAAGCTGTAATAAGGTGAAGAACGAGAGTACAATCATAAAGAAGTCTTGCTGCAGTTGTGTAGAGCTTTGGTGAGTGCACATTGTGTACAGTTTCAGCTTCGTATTTAGGGAAGGATCTACTTGAAGGCTGTGTATTGAAGCTTCACTCAACTCACCCTAGGATGAAAGTGCTGTATTGTCTGGATTTAGTAGAATGAGAGGTGATCTCATTGACAGGTGCAGGATCATGAAGAGGTTTGACAGGGTAGATTTTAAGTCAGTATTTCCCCTGGCTGGGAATCTGGAATAAAACAGCACCGTGTCACCATAGCACCAGATAAGGGAACGATCATATAAAAGACTAAAATGAGAAGAAAGTTCTTCACTGAAATGGTTGTAGATTTTTGGAGTTGTCTGACCCAGAAGTTTGTAGATGTGCCATCATTGAATATATTTAAGGCTGAGATAGACACATTTTTGGTCTCAGCAAATTGAGAGCAATAAGGTGTGGGCAGGAAAGCGGAGTTGAAGCCTGATATCAGCCATAACCAAATTGAATGGCAGAGCAGACTTGAACAAAAGCAAAATACTGGAAATCTGAATGTTTTGAGTCTGATATAATCTCTTCCAAACTGAAGAAGTCATACCAGACTTGAAACGTTAACTCTATTTCTGTCTCAACAGATGCCGAAACCTGTTGAATTTCTCCAGCCTACTCTGTGTGTGTTTGTAGTGGAGCAGGCACAATGGGCTCTGTGGTCTGCTCTGGCTCCTATTTCTTATATCTTAATTTTCTTTCTCGAGGATTAGAAGTCCCTTTCTCCAAATCAATGTCAACAGTATTGTTAATTAACCATTACATTGGTTAATCAGGAGAAAAATACATATTATCTTTATCTTGGAAATGGTAAGGTTAGTAACTTTCATTTTAGATCAGGGAATTGTTCTGACATGATAGAATCGTGAAAAAACAAATGCAACTCTCATTCTAATTGTTTTAGAGGGTGCTCCTGGTGCTTGTTGCACCTCCAGAAGGAGCTTGCATATTGTGTGTGTTTCAGTTGTTTAGGTAGGAGCCAGGAGGAACATCCCTGCTCCTGTTAGCTCCACAGCCAAGTTCACTGACCGTACTTTTCTGGTGATTCCTTCAGTGGCTGTCGTAGAATCCTGACTGGGGCAGGTCGGAAACCTCCATTTAGAAATCAGACATAAAACGTAAGAATAGACCTACTTAAGGAACGAAAGCCCATGTAAACATGACAGCAACTAAAACACTGCAATATATCATATAGCAGCCATTTCTCCCCCAGATTAACACTATTGCCCGGACACAGTCCACACGGAGGCCCAATTTCAACCCACTCTCGGTTGTTTGCTTCCTTATGCACTTTTCAACAAGTTATCTTCAGGCCATTAGCAATTCTGAGTTTTCGGAAATTGCTTAAATAAAACCCTTAAACTTAGCCAGTGCATTTCAGATAAATATGGGTCTATTAGTTCAATATTTGACAATGAGCACGTTACATGAAAACCCCAATGGTTGTTTATATGCTTTTCATGATCTGCTTTATTTTTTATTCCAAATTGATTGACATATATTCTGTTTAGGTCAAGTACAGGGAGATAACAGCACCTTGATTTTTATGCAATATTTCTCATCTGTTATGAGGCATCTTAGCATTTTACAATACAGAGAAAATGGATTTGGTAGACCAAGGAAAGGGGATGAGTAATTAATTGAGAAATTCTGTAATCAACCTGTTCAAGAATGCTCTCACACACCACTCGAGCAGGTTGAGACTTGAACTCATGCCTCTTGACTCGGAGGTAGGGACACTACCACTGCACCCAAGAGACTGATTATTGTACAATAAATCCAGAGCACCTAAATAATTAGGAGAGTGTTTGCCAAAAATTAAAAATAGCTTTAAATGTTACCATATTTTGTAAACATGTAGAAGTTGTGTACTTAAGACTGAAGGGAAAACATTCGTGTTTCATTCTGAAGATATTTTATTAGGAAACCAGAGTTTTTAAAGATGACAATATTGTCATTTCTCATGGTTATGTTTAGTCATGTGTGAGCTGGGTCTATTTGTAGAAAGGACAGTTAAGATTTTCACGTGTGTCTGCATTATGCGTCCTGTCAAATTGTATTGTGTATTTAAAAAAAAAATGTTTTCTTAGTGGTTTGTGATCTTTCTATTTTGTAGGTCGATGAGAAAGAAGGAGATGCTAACAAGCAAGAAGAGGCAGTAGCTGATGAAGCTAATCAGGAGGGGGAGAAAGAAGATGAAAATTATGAAGAGGAGGAAGAAGATGATGACCGGGATGACCCTGCTGCAAGGACAAATCGCCGGGCAGAGATGTGACATTCTTACAGTTAACTTTATAATGATTTTGTTTCATTATCTAAGTTGATTTATTTGACCCACAATATTCTAAAGGAACTTTCACATAAAGACATATAATACATTTTCCAGGTTATTTTAAAATTGGACATATTTAAAACAATGTATTAAAATGCTTCAAAGACATCTGCTTCCTGATTGTTTGTTTGTAATTTATAATAAGTTCAATGTGAAAGAGTCCGCAAAAGTTCATAGAACAATTTTTTGAGTTGTAAAATGTTCAGTCATATTTGTTTGAGGCATTTTGTAACTCTTTTGAAAATAATTTTATCAATGCAAAATCAATTATAACTTAAACAATTCTTGAACATGTCTGAACCTATTTTCTAATGAGTGATATTTATCATTATGATTAGATGTTAATTTGTCAACATAACTAATCATGTAATAAGCACTGCTGTTATGCACTGCACACAGTGGGTAGCTTGTGACTTTGAGCAAAATTGTAAAATGAGGCGAGAGCAGTCACCTACATTTTACACCCCTCCTGATTTTGGTTTCCATTAACTCAAATCACCCATTTTATACTTTTGCTTGAAGTCAAAAATCTATCTGACCGTGCTTATCGAAGTTAAATCAGAGCATTTAGCTTTGTTCTCCGCTTCATAACAAAATGTACTTCATAAAGAACTATTCTTCATGCAGTAGTTAGTAATTTATCCAGTGTTACCAAACCCAACTTCATTATGTTATTAAGTAATATTCTGTTCAAAGGATATTGAGCAATATTTTTTTCTGTGTAATAGGAGGTTCAATACAGAAATAATCCATTTATGTTCAAGGATTTACTGTTTCTATTTGTCTTTTTGTTTTCTGGAAGAAAATTGTATTTAAAACTGCTTTAAAACTTATTGCTTTGAAATGACAATCAAAAGTTTTAAAAAAAAAGTAAAAAACCCATGAAGAGAGAAACTGAAAAAAAATTTTGGTTTGGTTATTCTGTATAGGTCCTTAACTTTCATCTTGTTTCTGAGCAAGTAAATTGGTGCAATTTAAATGTAATACTTCATTTGGGAGTTTGTAAGTTATGAGAATAAATGAGTATATGAAGAACCATATAGTACCTGATCCATGAGGCGCACCAATCTGCACATTTAGTATGGTGCTGAAATTTTAATAATTGTAATGCATAAAAATTTAAAGCTTTAAAATTAAGTACATAAGTCTTTAAGGCTTCTTTAATATCAAGGTGGCAGAAAGTTCCATAAAAGCAAACAGTTAGATTTTTCTATAGGATTGCTAATTATGTGGTGCATATGATCAACTAATACTTGTTCAAATAAGCAAACAAACGTTGATTTTTGATATCAAATTTACATGTACAATGGAATAGTTATGAGTACATTGTATTAATACATCTACAAGGCATTAGACCTAACGTTCACATGTTTATGCTTTACACGAACCTCCTCTCATTTCCATCTATCCTAGTCAATAATAGTTCTATTCTTTTCTTTTCTCTGACCTGTGTTTATCTAGTTTCTCTTAGATGCATCAATGCAATTCGCTTCTACTACAACCTATGGTTGTGACTACCCCCCATTTTAGTCACTGTCTATGTAAAGAAGTTCCTCCTGAATTCATGCCGGACTTATTATCTATCTTAAATATATGTTTTCCATTTCTGGTTGATCCCACAGTGGAGACATCTATAAGTCTACCCTGTAAAATGAAAGGCCTCCAACAGGCGTCAGGTTTCCATTTTCTAAGGAAAGAATCTCCAACCTGTTCAACCTTTTCTTGCTGGAATAAGCTGTCTATTCTTGTGTCTCCCAATAATTTGTTTTATTGCATTTGCTCCAGTGCCTTTATTTTCCATACAATATTGAGACATGAACAGTTCAGACTACCTTGTGTAATCTAACCAAGATTGTATGGAAGCTTAACGTAACTCATGTGCTTTTAGTTCTAGTCTGCCAGAAAATAATCCGGGTGCTTATTTACTAATTTGTGGCCTTGTTGAACAATATCATTACATATAGTGATTTAAGTATCCGCACCCCAAAACTCTTTGCTATTCTACCCCATTGGACGTTTACTTGTGAAAGAGTATATAATCTCTTTATTCTTCCTGTGACAAAAAAACTTACCTTATATTTAGCTATATTGAAGTTCAGTTGCCAATTGCACACTCATTCTAGGAGATTATTAGTGCCTTCCTGTATTTTGTTGTTGTCCCTCTCTGAATTTATTACACACCCCAATTCAATATCTTCCGCTAGTTTTTAAATTAGGTTTCCAATTTTTAAGCCTAGAGTAGTTCATTGCAAATGTTGATTATTAGGGTCCCTTAACTGGTCCTCACGAAAATACCACTTTCCACTTTTTGCTAGTCTGAATAATTATGTTGAACCCCTTTGCCTGCATTGTCACCAGCATGTTATCCATTCTGATACTTGTGGTTTTATTTGTGAGTCAACAAAACGGTATGTTGTTGAAGGCCTTGTCTTCCTTTTCTGTTACTTTTTTCAAGTAATTCTATGAAGTTGGTACTGTATGTTCATACCTTAGGAATTCCAGGGTCTTACATTTTAAGTTTCTAGATGTTTTTTCTAGCCTTTCTTTGAGTAAGGATTCCATCATCTTTCCTACGAATGAGTTAAGCTAAAATAGTCCTTTGGACATGTTTTATTGCCTTTTCTAACAAGCAAAATGGATTTAAATCAATTTTAAAGTAAAATGATAATGACATGTTATCAATTTTCTTGGAGTAACTAAAGAGAACATTTTGTTTGAGATGTTAATTTACTTTAAGAACACAATAGAGCAGTTATTGTTCTGTTGTAATATGCAGGAAGATTAAAATTTCTGACTGGTATTCACATTTGTTTGGTTGGCTACATTATTTTTATATTGCTTGAACACTTTTTAAATAATTGTAATACCAGCTTTTTAATATGTTACCAAAGTGTATAATGTTATAAGAAGCAAAATTTTCTACTAAACACAAGCATATATTACATTCATGTGTTGCTTTTAATGCTTTTTATAATGGGGTCTAGGGTGACTATGCAATTACTTTGGAGAATAGGTTTTGCCAGTATTTGTTGTCAGCAATTTTCATGTCGACAAGTATATCATGAGAGCTTCTATTCACTATTAGTGTAAAGTGTATATTATGTAAATACTAATGCTGATCAACAAAACTTAAAGACCATATCATAAAATACTATGATTTCTAAAGGATGTTAAGTGATTATGTGAAATTATTGGCCATTATTAAACTGTGTGATTGTTCAATGCTTTGTATTATGTATATTTTGTTATTGATGCATAATATCATGAATTTTCATTCTTTTGTGGGTTATGTTTTCTGAAATGATCTTAGACACAAGCGTTGGAACAACAGGTATTTTTGGAAGGTGATTGTAAAAGAAACTTCTTTTTTCACATTATGGATATCCACACATTGAGTCACTTCCATTGCTCAGACTGGGGTCATGAAATCATGAAATCTCAGCTTATTGCTGTGCGAGTTCAGACTGTTGCCATTATACCTCAGAATATCAGTTCTCAAAGGGGCTTTCAAGAGTCCCTTAATTCGTTCTGTATTCTGTACACAGATAGAAAAATTGACCAAGTGTCCTACATTCCCTGCAAGATTAAACACCCAATTAACATCTATGAAAACTAATTAAGAACTATTGCTTTTAGTTAATGCAAAGGGGAGGCAATGGCCTAGTCGTATTATCACTGGACTGTTAATCCAGAGACCCAGATAGCATTCTGGGGACCCAGGTTTGAATCCCGCCACGGCAGATGGTGGAATTTGAATTCAGTAAATATCTGGAATTAAGAATCTAATGATGACCATGAATCTATTGTTGATTGTCAGGAAAAAACCCATCTGGTTCAATAATGTCCTTTAGGGAAGGAAACTGCCATCTTTACCTGGTCTGGCCTACATGTGACTCTCAACTGCCATCTGGGCAATTAGGGATGGGCAATAAATGCTGCCTAGCCAGCGATACCCTCATCCTGTAAATGAATAAAAAAATATATTAACAGTCACATTTTGTTTTTGTGTGAATGATCAAATGTAAAGTTTGTGGGAGTGCGGCTGTCTGATGTTCCATTCTGTTTTTATGTGCAATTCACTTTTACCTCTAGCGAATTCAATTTACGTGCCAAGGAAATGTCATGATGCAGTGGTTAAACTGGTGTTTCCTGTTAGTGACTGAAACGTCTCCCTAATACACAGAAACCATGGCAAGAAATTAGCCATGTGTTGTCAAAACAATTTGTCGCAGTTAGTCTGTCCTCTAAGAACTGATGTTAACGCCACATTGTGCCGTGAGACCTTTCGCCGAAATGATCAATAAGCGAGTGTAAGGTAAGAAGGTAAACTTGTTTTTAGCCATAAAATCGTAGTTAGTACTATAACAGTAGCTGTTATTAGAAATGATCTTCCAGACTTTGCCATAGCTGGTGAATGGTATTATGTGTAAATACTGGCATAAAGACTGCTTGTATTCAGAAAATAAAAATTAAATGTAAATGTTAAGACATACAATTTACTTAAAAGAGTGAAAATATAATTTAAATGTATGCCTAACGTTTTGGGAGAAAAAGTAAGGAAAAACTAAATGGTACAATTTTAGAGATTATTCAGTAACAGTGAGACCTGGAGATTCTTGACTTTATAAATGGAGGCAGAGAGTACAAAGACAAAGAAGTTATACTAAATCTCTATAAATCAATGTTTAGGTGTTACCTAGATTATTATACATGATTTTGGCACTACAGTTTAGAAATTTTTTATAAGAACTACTCTTTGGAAGGATGTCAAGGCAATGGTAGAATTCAGAGGAGACCTACCAGCACGATAGCACGAATAAAAGACTTTGATTACATGGAAAACATAAAGAAGCTGGTACTGTTCTCTTTAAAGCACAGAAGGTTAAGGAAGGGAAATTTGATTGAGGAGCTCAAAATTATGAGAGATATTGTTAGAGTAAATAAGGAGAAACTGTTTCCACTACAGGAGTGTTGGTAACCAGAGGACAGAGCCTTAAGATAATTGATAAATGAATTAGAAAAGAGACATTTTATGCAGCAGGTTTTTATGATTAGGAGAAGTAGATGAATTAAACAGAGTCAGCAGTAATTTCCAAAAGAGAATTGGGTTTATGCTGGAGAAAGGCGGATTCAAAGGGCTAGATGAAAGTGCAAGGAGTGAGACCTGGAGTTGGGATCTGGAATATTCTATCTGAAAAGTGAAATCCTCAGCGGTGACTTTGGATCCCATGAAGTCTCATAGCATCATGTGGAACATGGACAACAAAAACATCTGCTTATTGCTGCTCTCCCGCTGTAGTTGATGACCTGTTCTTCCAGATTAAACACTGGCATGGACCTGATGGGCAGAATGACCTCCTGTGCTATGATAGCTATGACTATAATTTTTTAAAAAATGCAGTGAATGTAGCAGTAGCTGCTTGGACTGTTGGTGGGATTTCAGTGTCCATCACAAGTAAGGGCTGAGTAGCGCCACTTTGACCAAACTGCTCAAATCTGAAGTAACCAACAAGAAGGAGAATCTTACTTGGCCTCACCCTTGCCAATCCACTTGTCGCAAATTAATCTGCTCAAGACAGTATTAGTAGGAATAATCACTGCACAATGGGGACAAAGTCCCATCTTCACACTGGGGATACTGTCCAATATATGGTGTGGCACTAGAGCATGGTACATTGGATAGATATAGGTAAGATCAAGCAACTCAGAAGTAGGCATCCATGTGGTAGCCATCAGCAACTGCACAATTGTATTCTGCATATCCCTCATTGCACTGTTAACACCACATTTGGGGATCAACCCAAGTTCAATGAGCAGTGTAGGAGAGCATGCCAGAAATGGTATGAGTATTGTGACAGGGTGTGGAAGGGTGATACAGCTCCCCGGCTTTTTAAGCTTTTTTTGGCTGCATCGAAGATTTAAAATTTTTTTAGTGTTAATATCACACTTCAATTAAAACATAGTACTGGTTAAAATTAAGGTGCCAATTACAAAATTTTCTTGAATGACGGATGGAGGAATTGTTTTACTTAAACCCCAGGTGAATAATAAAATGCAACGTCAAACACACAGAAGCACAGTTTCAGAGTTTAAAAAGTCAAGTGCATGTTTGAAAAAGGGAAAATCAAGAATGTGTAGTTTAAAGACTAAGTCCTCAGGCTCTTTAAGGATTAGGTCTAAACCAGATTAATTAAAATCTTGTAACCTCAGCAGTCTTAAGATTTGTAGATATCCGAGACTACTCAATGTTCCTTCAACTTGCATTACAACCAGATGCTGTTTTCCCAGTGACTGAGAGAAACATGAGTGAGAAAATGAGATCTCCAGTTCTGTAGCACAGATTAATGTCCCCACCTCTCTCTTTCCCTAAAAGCTGTTGCCTGAAGTACAGTTCATTTGTGTATTCCTATTTCTAGCCTCTTTTTTGTTCTTTTTCCAAACTGGATAATCTGCAGTTGACTTTCATCAGAATGTGCGAAGCTTCCAGAAAGGTGGTTATTAAACGGGAAATACAGACCTGAATGACTGATTTCAGTCTTGGTGGCATGTTAATTTCTGTTCAGACCGAGTCTTGTTTATTGATGGCTGAATGAATTGGCTGAACTTGTGCCTGTGATCACTAGCCATTTAAAATCTGTGGTTTTTTTTTATTGAAACAACATTCCACAATAATAAAGGTGATGGGAATTGATTGTCCCTTTACACTATTATCATAACACCACTCCACGCATGAAACAAAAATGAATAATATTTCTCCCTTTAGTTGTGGTGAGCATTCTGTCATAAGATTGATATGAAATAACAATATGAAATTTGGGATGACAACACACTGATTCTACATTCTCTCTTTCTCCTACCCTGGCTTCAAAACTTGTTTTGGGAAAGGCTGTCAGACTTGTTTCCTCAATTGGGCCTTTTTGAATCTTAAACCTTCACCATTCAGTTCCATAATCTATTTACCAGAGTCAGACATTTTTACAGATTTGATTTCCATGATGTCAGTGGGTGGAGGTCTGATGTCTGCCTCCTGTAAGGAATCTAGACTTGAATCCTGCATTACATTCTCATTGAACTTCACATTATACCAATTGAATCACTTGAGGTTTGAAACTTGATGTTTACCTTGGATGTCTAGTGGGTAACTCTGTTTTCATCTCACTGGGATGTCCCTGGTGCTCATATTTACTGTGGGGTGTGGAACAGGAATAAGGCCTTTAGCTTGTCAAGCTTGCTCCACCATTTAAGATGATCATGCTGACCAGAAACTTCAATGTCTTTTATCCATGTTATCCTCATAACCCTTTACGCCATTGATATTCAGAAATATATAAATCTTTACTTTAAATGTTTAAAGACTAGCTTCCATAGCCCTCTGTAGATGAGTATTCCAAATATTCACAATCCTCTAAGTAAACAAAAAATCCCATCTCAGTCTTAAATATCATCCCCCTTTCAATGTTGTCCCTGGTTCTAGACTCCTCAGCTATGGGAAACATCTTTATTGCATCTATTCTTGTATGTCCCTCAAGGTATTTTGTTTGTTTCAATGAGATCGCCGCTCATTCTTCAATGCTAGAGAATAAAGGCGTAGTTGCCCAGACATATCTTCGTAGGATAGTCCCACCGTCCTGGGACTATCTTTGGTGAACTCCCTCTTATACAATAATATCTTTTCTGAGGTAAGGAAACCAAATGTGCACATAATACTCTAGGTGTGGTCTAACAAAGCTTCTGTACAATAGAGGTTAACATTCCATTAAGCTACCCAATAGTTTGCTACATCTGCATATTAGCCTTAAGTGATTTATTGACGAGGACACCAAAACCCTTCAGACATCTACATTTTCTAACCTCTTGTCATTTAAGAAATACGCTGCACATCTGTTCATCCTACCAAAGTGAATAACATCACATTTTCTCCCCCCCCTCCATATTACAGCAGTA